CCCCGAAACACTGTGTATTGAGCAGGGAGTGGTGCTTTCTTTCAGGTTTGCCGAGCGGAAGGTTCGACGTGCTCCTCGTGTGCTCCGGATGGCAGTCGTGAGTCAGTCAAGTGTCAAGTTCGGCAAGAAGCGTGTGCTCCTCCTTGGAGCAACCACCTTCATGACTATTACCGCCGAAGTCGCAACTTCTAAGTTCGTATTGTTGTCCCTCACGCGGACGTGCGACTAGTTGTTGGAGGTGACAGCGTTGTGAATAGCTATACTGGCTCTCAACGTCTGTTTAGCACCACTCCATGAGCGACTCTGACTCACGCTGCTACCTGGGGGACTCACGAGGTGTTTGTCGCGCTGGAAACAAAGTGTCTCTGTAAGTTTGTATCCCTGGTGATGGTTTGGCCTGGAGAGCAGTATATAAGTGGTGCTTTTCAGCCACAATCTTCCTCAGCCTACTCAAGCTCAACTGATGAGGGGTGAATTCCCCGAAACACTGTGTATTGAGCAGGGAGTGGTGCTTTCTTTCAGGTTTGCTGAGCGGAAGGTTCGACGTGCTCCTCGTGTGCTCCGGATGGCAGTCGTGAGTCAGTCAAGTGTCAAGTTCGGCAAGAAGCGTGTGCTCCTCGTTGGAGCAACCAACTTCATGGTTACAGTGCTAAGGAAAAGGGTGTAAGTCTTGTGTTAAGCCTAAAATCCAATTTTCACCAGTTGTAGTCTTCGGGGTGCAGGCGACAACTTTCACACCAAGGTTCAACTCGAGTGACAGAAACTCGCTCAAACATGCTGTAAGTAATTAGTTGTAGCCTGCAGGAACGGTGACCAGGTGACTAGTGTACACACGAGCATGTGACCGCTTGTTCAGCCATGTTCGATTGGGATTAAAGCGGGATTCACAGAAGCTTTTTTTGCGATGCGGATGATGCGACGCGATCTGCGATGGACGCGTGCGATGCGAACTCGCGAAATACCATTCACAGAAGAAGTCAGCGATGCGACAAAGTCTTGCTGATTTGGGTACGTCACCAAGGTATTCGCGCGGTTCGGTACAACTTGTACAAATTTATAGGTAACTCTTGAACCTTTGTACAACTTTGCTATTGAAAAGGCCAACATCGTACGCCAAATCGCTTGTCGCATCGCAAAAGTTGAGCCAAGCTCAACTTCGGCGATGGCCGTGTTGCGGCAGTTGCGTGGGGTCCGCGATGGTTGCGATTTGGGGATTTCCCGGTTTCGCGGATGTTGCACCGCGTGTCGCATCGCAAAAAAGCTTCTGTGAATCTCGCTTAAAGCCCGATTGATTCACAATACAACTTTCTGCGACGCGACATGCGATTTGCGACAAGAAACTGCCTGTCGTAATGCACCTGTTGCAGAAGTTGAAGAAAGTTAGTTCAACTTTTGCGACATGCGACACGCGACATACACAAATGGAGTACAGTTTTGACCCTGGGTGCACGTGCATAGTACCACTTGTGCATGAGGATGTCGCAAACGTTAAACATGAAGAATATTGTGAACCGTGTTTCGCTGTCGCAGCTCGTCGCATGTGTCGCAAGTCGATTGTCGCGTCGCAGAAAGTTGTATTGTGAATCGGCCTTAAAAGGGTCGAACGCTACATCGCAGCCTTTTCGGACCAAAACCAGTCGACTCAAGGTTTTTTTCTTGAAAAGCACATAACCACCAGGAAAGCTGACAAAGAAAAAAGAGTAAGAAAAGACAGATAAAAAGAGAGCTGAGACTGAGAGAGAGAGAGTTGGGGTACGGTTAGAGGAGGACGAGACATTTTTTTTTACTTGAAAAGCACATAACCACCAGGAAAGCTGACAAAGAAAAAAGAGTTAGAAAAGACAGAAAAAAGAGAGCTGAGAGAGTTGGGGTACGGTTAGAGGAGGACGAGACATTGAATGGCGGTCACCACAGTCACAGATAGTAGCAGTGCTGGTGAGGCTACAGGCACTCCACTGACCATAGGTCTCAGTATCACCATGCCGGTTGTTGTGAACCCTCTGGTTCTCTATAGTATCAGGAACGAACGACCCCACACGGCACGAGGACGACTATTTATTCTCAACAGTATATTTCACTTCCATCGACTAATAACAATGAACAATGAATGGAACAACTGAACAACTAACACTAAAACCACCAGGTAGTTATAGCGTGAAAATGTCACAGCGTATATGAGAAAAGCATACAACTACAGCGCACACAGCAAACCGCACATAGCGCCTGTAGCGTATGCCACGTCGTAAACATCAGCGGTACGGCGGAGTCGGGATACAGCTGCATTGAAACGAACACAATGTCACAAGCGAGAAGGCCTTTCACTCTCGAGAACTTGTCGTTTCACAACACCGGTGACGCACCAAAAGACAAAAACGGAAGAAAATCTAAAGCGCATTACATGAACAATAAAGGTAATAGGGAGAGTGGTGACCAAGAGAGGACAGTATAGACCGTTAGTATGGGGTGCTTCATCCCCACATCCCCAAACCGAGAGGTGCGATCTGTAAAGAACAGTGAGACGATCAACATGAAGGGCTTTAAAGCACGTCCCAAGACCATGGCTGGTCTGAGATGTGTTTGTTGACACCTGTGAGTGGAGAGTGATTGGCCAGACGGGGAAAGACGTCCTCGGGGTGGCTGTTCCACACGCGTCCAAAAGATTACAACATATGGGCCAATCGCGGTCATCCATGCTTATAAGAACGAAATGGCGCTTTTAGTGACATTTTGCATACAAATCCCCATCTAGTAGGGCGCAGTCACCCAGTTTCGGTGGAAGTCCGCGAGTTCGATTGGGAATAGAGGAGGAATAAGAGGGGAGCATCTCAGCTTCCTCGGACCAAGACCATTCGACTCAGCACCCCGAAGACTACAACTGTGGACAAAACAACTAATGAACTGATTTCGAAGGACATAATTATACTCGTGCGTGCATATTGATTCCCTCCGCCAAAGCGTTACAATTACCCTATATAACTAGCGAATAGCATCATTATGTTTTATCGTCTGATGAGTACTCGAGTGTTTATGAACACGAAACTCCAAGTTACGAGAAAGATTTTTGGTCCCTGTTGTTCTGCCTTTGGGTACGTAGATCTATGCATTTTAGCGCACAGACCTTGCAAGTGCTAGCGCATAATCAACTACAGTCAACTTCGCTAATAACGACTGCGGATATAACGACAATTCGCGAATAACGACAGCATTTCCATGCCCAGAGCAAAGTCCCTTCCATCTGTAATACATAATGAGACTTCGGGTATAACGACACTTCGCGGACACTTTTTTGATTCCCCAGCGAGTGTCGTTATAAGCGAAGTTGACTGCATCAACGAGTTGCTAAAACTAAATTTAGGCAATGGGCATATGGGGAACGGGTCACTCGTTTTCGCTCTCAATCTCATTCACGAGTCATTCACGAGTCGCTAAAACTCCCCACTGTAAATACCAGTACCACGACCCACTGCATGCAGCCAGATCTCACAGACTCAAAATCAGTCACACAGTCATCTGGTCTTCACTTCCGTTGTCGGTGAGAGCGTGGACGTAGTCGTAGATCTACTATCGTGCATTCGTAATCATGGTAATGCCTACTGATGCCTGCCTGCTGCAGTGATGGCGCGAAAGTACGAACCTGGCCTTTGCCCGTTTAGAAACTTTAGTTGCACAGAGTCGGTGACTGTGTAGACTAGTAGAGAAGATGAGCGAAGCAGGCGCTGACCTCAACAAATATTTTTTGGTCAGCCGCAGATCATCCACTCAGCAAGGCTTCCAGGGGCGTACATAGGGCGGTTCCCGGGATGCCCGGGAACCAGTAAAAAGATTCCATGTGGGCACAGAGAATTTGTTGATCCAGGCCCAGCGCTCACAGTGCAAGTGCATGCCTGGCATCCGCCTGACGGTCCGATCGAGGACGGTGACTAGCCCAGGTGTGAAAGTAGTGCTGGGACACAGCGTACTGAACTGAGGACGGTGACTAGCCCAGGTGTGAAAGCAGTGCTGGGACACAGCGTACTGAACTGGGTTCAACAAAGTCTCTACTGTAGTTACATCGCCGGATTCCTCGATCTCAGAGTAAAATTTTCCTTTGGAGTTTGTTTTGACAAAGTAATTAGTTGGTCGTGTTTTGACAATGCTTTCGCTTTGTGGAAAAGAAAAAATGAAGCGTCGACATCCAGAGGGCCAGCGCTCTATTCAGAGCTATTTTGAGCTGCAGACAAAGCGTGTGGCCAGTGCTAGTGGCGAAGGTCAAGCGATAGATGAGAATGCAGACGCACCTGACTTGCAAGCGAAGTCTGCATCCAACGAGCAGCGTTGAGGAAGGAATCGTCGGCGAAGCTGTAGAGCGACCGTTGTTGGAAGCTGCTGGATCATCCAAAACAAACTTCAATGACATGGGAGTGTGTTGGACGGGATATTCTGAAAGTCGACGTCCACAGCGGAATCCAGTCCCCCGAAATTTGCTTGACACGGAAAAGATTTCCGTCATCGACAATCATTGTGCGCCACCGAAGGCGAAGGATTTCGTTTCCTGTGCGTGTCCAGACGGATGGCAAACAGCGCCACTTTCAACTACCCTTGTTAGAGGAGTTACCCTGGGTAGCCTTTTGACAGGCATGCAATGGTGGCTTCTGCTTGCCCTGTGTGATGTTTGCTCCAGATGATTCGAAACTTAGGCAGCTTTCAAGACCGCATGCAATCGTCATGTTGAACAAAACATCCATAAAACGGGGAAAAATTCTGTCCTTTAAAATCATAAATGCGTAGCAATGACATCATCGTCCAGCAGCTTGTGGATGTTAATTTCACCCAGTCTGAGGAGAATATGCAGAAACTCCGTGGGATACGAAAAACAGCACTTCAATTGTGTGGAATGTTGGTGCATCAGTTGGCATGGGAACCACTCCTGGAGGCGAGCGGCGTACGCCCCTGGCTTCTGAGTGAAAATAGCCTTTTTCGGATCCACAGATGGGAACAGCTCGTGTATTCATGGTGTGGAAGTCCAGAAGCCACCTGCTCAGCTTATACTAGTTATAGAAGGCAGAGATGGAAAGGTGTTCTTTGTGACGGCAGCAGTGCAGCGCGCTGCTCAACGAAATATCGGTCACGGATTTGCAGTCGTTACAATCTGCTGGTTACGGCTGAGTGAACTAGTTCATGGGTGAATGAACGGCGCAAGAAGACTACATCTGTCCAATGTCTTGTTTGATGTGTCGAAGAAGCAAGCCAGTTGTCTCGGCCGCAGAACACGCGCCAACTTTACCAAGAAAAATGAATCCGGTTAGTGGACGAGTTTTTTTCTCAGCCGATGCCTATCCTGTTTCCCACTGCAAACGCTGTTGTCATAACCTTTCCAACACCTTTCTCTTGTATGTTGAAGGTGGTGTTCGTTGTCCAGCGAATTCTGCAGTGCCCGAGGACTAGGGTGACTCCAGAAAGAGTGAGCCACTATGGCGTGGCGCGCAGCAATGGTCCTAATTGCGTTCCTGGCACTGGCAGGTGAGTAAGCTGAGTGAACTGTTCGTTTGTGACAACAAACTCCTCTCACATTATTCAATATGGAGTGAAATTTTACATGCAGAGTCATAGATGTATGTGTTGATAACTATGACCAATATCATCAGGCCTGGCCTCTGTAGGTGTAGGGGGTCCGAGGCTATTAATATTTCAAGCTGTCGAAAGTATTCTTCTAATAGCATAACCACGAAATGGAGGGTTAGCTTAGGGCAAAGCAGTAACACCAGTGCACTCTGACGAAAATACCTCAGGGTTTATAGAAATACATGTCGCGTACCTCCATATCTTTTTCCGCGGGGGGGGGGGGGAGGAGTACGAGTGCAGCCTTGCTCAGACGTCTAATAGTGGTTGTGTTGTTGCAGTGTGAAGCCGAGATAGTTTTATAGCCAGGACTATCTACTGAAACAGCACAGCTAATTGGTAGACCGTTTTCATTAGACATCTCGTCCTTTTTCCTATTGTAGCGATACATCCTGAGCTAGAAAAACTACAGTTTTGGCCAGAGAAATCCAACCTCATGAATAATGTAGTGCTGTGTTCAGAGTGTTGTGTGTGTGTGTGTGTGTGTGTGTGTGTGTGTGTGTGTGTGTGTGTGTTCAGAGTGTTGTGTGTGTATGTGTGTGTGTTCAGTGTGTATGTGTGTGTGTGTGTGTGTGTGTGTGTGTGTGTGTGTGTGTGTGTGTGTGTGTGGTGTGTGTGTGTGTGTGTGGGGGGGGGGGGGGGGTGATATTGCTGCGTCACACTCAGCGCTATCGTAATCATTAGGTTGGATTTCTCTGTTCAGGGCTGTAGACAAATTGCTTTGTGATCGCATACTACAATGGCTGTGTATGCTTTGACGGTGACAGATTGTTACAAGGCGGAGGACGTACGGCAGTGCTATGTAGTAGCCAGAAATAGGTCATCTCAACACATACTAGTAGCTTGTGGGTCAGTTACTGGGAGAAGTGATATTTTGCCTGATTGTTGTGCTGTAGGCCATGAAGAGGCAGTGTTCTGGATCCACAGTTTTGGCAAGTGAAATCTGCCCTCGTAAATAATTATAACAGCTCCAGGCTGCATGTCCCTGCCACTATAGGAAACTATGCTCTTCAGAGAACGTGGCTCATTCATCGCGTTGGACTTTACCACCACTAGAATGACTGTGTTCTATTGCACATAAATAATGACGATTATTACTACTCAGAGTGCTAAGGTTGTGCTAAACAATGTGAAGTTTTAATCCCTCTATCCTGTTCCTCTTCACTCTTTCTTTGTACAATTCGCAGCGGATCGTCAGTGCTGCAGTGGGAGTGAAAACGTGACCTTTGAACAGAATTGTACAAGTGGAGACTTGCAAAACACACCCAACACTACACCAAGCAATGCCTTTCATCAGGCAATGCAGACAAACACATTCAAATTTGATGCAACGTCGAACAAGTGTGTTATCACTTCCCAATATAAATGCAACCCTGGATATGGTTTCAGGAAAGGCAGTGCCCAGACTGATTGGGGTCAGAAAATCAAGTTCGAATCAAATGATGGCATTGAGTGGACTGTTCAGAAGGAATGTACTGGTAGGTGTGGTAAATTATACCTTTCCTCCATTTAAATAGACTGTTTTGACAATGGGTGACTTCTGGGCCAGTAACGTCATAATTTTGCAAGTGATTATAGTCGACCTACTCTTATAACGATAACCCCTATCTCTTAGCCTGTCACCAGGAAACCCTATATATAGGGTTTGACATAACGCTACACATAAAGACCCTATATATAGGGTTAGGACCCCTAAAGAAAGGGTTTGATCAGTCCTCACAACTGGGCACACAATACACACAGTTTCACTTGGTTTTTTTTTGATATTTTCACTGCATTGCCATTGATGTTAGCAGGAGCGCTCCTACGACGTGCGCGAGTGTCGCCGCATTTGCTGCTTCCGACCCACGTGTGGATCAGCTGATGCAGAAACGGCAATGGCGGGAGCGGCAGCTGCGACAGCCGCTGTTGATGCTTCGCCTTCTTCTTCAGGAGCATCCGACGCTGCTGGAACATCGACATCATCATCCTGAGTCGACACCAGGTCGCCAGGAACATTCTCATCGCCCGAGTTCGTCTCCACTAACTCAAGTTGCTCTTCCTCCATCGTGAAAAATCAAACCCTAGATATAGGGTCTAGAAAATGTTACGACAGCGCTGCACTAAAACTAACCGTACTCGAAGAAAACAGCAACAAAATGATCACGGTCTTCAGCAAGAGAACCGTACGTACATTCTACGTATGTAGGCCCAGGCGTCTAGTTGCCATAGCAGCCAAGTGGGCTCTCAAGAGAGCTCAAGATAGAACGCGCGGCTGAAAACCCTATATATAGGGTTTGACAGGCTAAGAGATAACAATATCACCTGTATAACGATATTTTTCTGTCAAACCGAATCACTCCATTGACTTTTGTATACAATGGCTCAGTGTTACCAAGTGCCCTCTACCCCCATGCGTACTGCCCAGTGCCATTTTGTAGATTTTTTCAGAGTTTTGCGTACTCGTTTTTTTCCGGGTCAACATTTTGACAGATTATTAGTGTAATTTCCCCCCAAATGGCGAAGAGATCGATCAAATATTTAGATATAACCAGTACTAGTATTTACAGAGATGAAAATACGGCGCGCGATATCTCTGGAGTCCGACATCGTCACTCTTCGGTGATTATTGCATTGGACAGATGGATGTTTTCGCTACCACGTAGACGCTTCGATTGTTGAATTTGCATAAGAAACGATGGAGTTACGAAGGTTTTAGTACCGTACTGGCAATATATGTTGCCGCGTAACGCGTAACGCAGGGGGGTGCGGCGTAACGCGCGACCAGGCTAGTGCGAAAAATTTTCGTTGCGTTCGTAACGCGCGTCCGGCGGGGTGAGGCGATCTTTTCATTGCAAAAAAGGCTGAAAACTGTGAAAGCACGTGTACCGCGTGGTGAAAAGTTCAAAACTGGACGCAGCAGGAAGTCCTGCAATAGCAAAAAAAGGAATGCGGCAATATAGAAACCTGTGTAACGGCTCCTGTGCGACTTTGCATGTAACGCCCTGCGTGCGGTAAACATGTGCCAATGTAACGCTTCATGGCCTCACTGCGACCATATATAACGCCAGTACGGTAATCGATAATACATGATCGTTTGCGAGATAATTCGATTGAAATCCGTACTGCGGACAAACCTTCGTTTTTCCGTAAAAAATACGGACAAAAACGGGCGGTTGGCAACACCATTGGCTAACCTCTATAACATTATTGCTATAAGTTTAACGATATTACCCCCATATATTGACCTTTGATAAGTACCCACACTCATTAGTGGCCACACCATCAACAGTATGAAATTCAAATAAATTTGCTTGACTCAATAAATACCAGTGCGCTTTTCCATGCAACACAGCACGTTTTCCTAAAAAGGAGTATTTTATAAAAAGTATGTATTGGCCTTAGTGGCATTTTAAATAAAAGGGGGTTTGTCAACTGACAACCGCTCTATTTTGTTGCTATTGACTCTTGGCGCGTGCGCTGGATGAAAAAATATTTTATTCCCGTAGCTATGCAGAAGACGTTACTTCAGTAACGTCTGGCGCTAGCCAGGGTCCACACAGCTTTAATTTGGTATTTGTGTGTTTGTGTCACGCCTGGCGCTATCCCATATCTGTCCCGTACCGTACCGTACCATCAAACACAGCTGGCCACATACAGCTGGCCGCAATATTCAAATAGGGCTTTCAAACGCAAGATCATAACGTGAAGCAACTTGGAAGAATGGGTATGAATGCGAAGTGTATGGGGGAATGCATGTAGGGTGATAGTGCGGGTTCGAATCCCAGGATACGCCTGAAAAAAAAATAGGAGAATTGAAAAATTTATAACATACCTATGCTTTTTTTTTTGCCGTCATCAAGGCGGTAGACGGTGTCGTATTACCCTTGATCGTACCTGTCTCGTACCTATCCCGTACCGTACGGTACCATCAAAGACGGCTGGCCACAATGCATATTCAAATAGGGCTTTCAAATGCAAGATCATAACGTGAAGCAACTTGGAAGAATTAGTATGTATGCGAAGTGTATCGGGGGATGCATGCAGGACGCGCGATAGTGCGGGTTCGAATCCTAGGTTATGTCTTTATTTTTTAAGAATTTATAACATCCCTATGCTTTGTTTTGTCTAGGTCATCAAGGCAAAAAAGCATAGCGTAGGGCCCTGAGCTTCCAAGCTCTCTCGTTAGTGATGTCGAATTGGCGCGTGCGCTGGATGAAAAATTATTTTATTCCCATAGCTATGCAAAAGACGTTACTTCAGTAACATCTGGCGCTACCCAGGGTCCACACAGCTTTAATTCCCGTAGCTATGCAGAAGACGTTACTTCAGTAACGTCTGGCGCTAGCCAGGGTCCACACAGCTTTAATTCCCGTAGCTATGCAGAAGACGTTACTTCAGTAACGTCTGGCGCTAGCCAGGGTCCACACAGCTTTAATTTGGTGTTTGTTTGTTTGTTTGTTTGTTTGTTTGTTTGTGTCACGCCTGGCGCTATCCTGTATCTGTCCCGTACCGTACCGTACCAACAAAGACAGCTGGCCACAATATTTTTGTTTGTTTGTGCCATCGGCATGCCTGGCGCTATCCCGTACCTGTCCGGTACCATCAAGTGTACGGTACCAGTGATCTAGCCAAAGCCGGCTCAGCCGGCATTTTGCCGGCTGGGAGGGCGACCCGCCGGCTGAGACAGCTCCAAGGGTAATTTTGGCCGGCTGCAGTCACCAGGTCACCCCCATGTAGACTGTAGTGCACTGCACTAGCACTTGAGTGGAGATGGTGGAGTACAACCCATATCCTAGGCTCGAGTAGGTATGTACTACAGTACAGTACGTAGCACTGGCTACTCAGGCTCAGTGCTAGCTCTTCACTCAAGATCAAGCTCAAATGCACTTGAGTATGCACTTGAGTACGTCAGTAAAATGTAACAGGTTGGGTCATGGTTCGCTGCTTCTGGTGGTGTACAGGCTGTGGCTAGGCTGGGTCTTGTCAGATGACCAATGTACACTGCATGCAGACATGACGTTGGTGAACACATGATCCATGCTCATGTAGCTGTTTGCTTCCTTTTTCATATTTTGTTAATTTACCTATAATCACATTTTCACAACTGCCTGATAAATGCCCATAATTGGACGAAGCGAAAGGAGATGCAAGCTGCAATGAAAGATTTGTAGTGGTGTGTGTGTGTCTGTGTGGATACGTGACTGACGGCGGGGTCTGGGGGCGCAGCCCCCAGAACGATGCATTTTAACTAGAACGTTGGCCGGCTGGCATAAAATCCTGGCTAGACCTCTGGGTACCATCAAGAGAATGAGTATATATGCGAAGTGTATCGGGGAATGCATTCAGTGCAGTACCATTTTGTGTGGATTTGTGTGCGAGGCCGAGATCCCACTAGCAGGCTGGCTGGGCCGCCTGTCGAACAGCCCGGGAATCGCATGTAGGCCGATAGCATAATAATTATAACGCGTATACAGTCATGTAGATGTATGGCAGGGAGTCATATTATGTAAACGACTCCCTGCTGTATGGGGAGATTTTCTGGAAAGAAATACGAAGTAGGGAGACGAGAAAATGCAATTAGAATGGATGTTAGTTGCCGTCAGTATAATAATAAGAAGAAGACGAACGCCCGTGGTCGGCAGAGTCAGCGCCGGTCCCAGGAAACGGCAGGACAGACATCCCGTCGACTCCAGAACGCCCGTGATCGGCAGAGTCAGCGCCGGTCCCATAGCTATGCAGAAGACGTTACTTCAGTAACTCATTGAAACGTTTTTGCAATACAATGAAGTAGCTAATCAAAGGAAAAAAACGTTTCCATCAGTTCTAACAACATGCACGATGAGCTAGGCAACAAAGCATAGCGCAGGGCCCTGAGCTTCCAAGCTCTCTCGTTTGGTATTTGTTTGTTTGTGTGTTTGTTTGTTTGTTTGTTTGTGTCACGCCTGGCGCTATCCGTATCTGACGGCAAAAAAGCATAGGATGTTATAAATTTTTCAATTCTCCTTTTTTTTTCAGGCATATCCTGGGATTCGAACCCGCACTATCGCCCTACATGCATTCCCCCATACACTTCGCATTCATACCCATTCTTCCAAGTTGCTTCACGTTAATCTTGCGTTTGAAAGCCCTATTTGAATATTGCGGGCAGCTAGACGGTGTCGTATTACCCTCGATCGTGCCTGTCCCGTACCTATTCCCTACCGTACCGTGCCATCAAAGATGGCTGGCCACAATGCATATTCAAATAGGGCTTTCAAATGCAAGATCACAATGTGAAACAACTTGGAAGAATTAGTATGTATGCGAAGTGTATCGGGGGCTGCATGCAGGGCGCGCGATAGTGCGGGTTCGAATCCCAGGTTAAAAAAAAGGATTTTTTTAAAGAAAACATCCCTATGCTTTTTTTTGTCTAGGTCATCAAGGCAAAAAAGCATAGCGCAGGGCCCTGAGCTTCCAAGCTCTCTCGTTTGGTGTTTGTGGCGGGCGGGCGGACCTTTGTCTGGCGCTATCCTGTATCTGTCCCGTACCGTACCATCAAAGACAGCTGGCCACAAACAGCTGGCCACAATATTCAAATAGGGCTTTCAAATGCAAGATCATAACGTGAAGCAACTTGGAAGAATGAGTATGAATGCGAAGTGTATCGGGTAATGCATGTAGGGCGATTGTGCGGGTTCGAATCCCAGGTTATGCCATAACATCCCTATGCTTTTTTGCCTAGGTCATCAAGGTGGTAGACGGTGTCGTATTACCCTCGACCGTACCTGTCCCGTACCGTTCTGTACCATCAAAGACGGCTGGCCACAAACAGCTGGCCACAATATTCAAATAGGGCTTTCAAATGCAAGATCATAACGTGAAGCAACTTGGAAGAATTAGTATGTATGCGAAGTGTATTGGGGGATGCATGCAGGGCAATAGTGCGGGTTCGAATCCCAAGTTATGTCTAAAAAAATAGGAGAAATGAAAAATTTACTATGCTTTTTTTGCCTAGGTCATCAAGTCAAAAAAGCATAGTTTAGGGCTCTGAGCTTCCAGGCTTTCTCGTTCCGTGTTTGTTTGTTTGTGGCATCGGCATGCCTGGCGCTATCCCGCACCTGTCCCGTACCGTACCATCAAAGACAGCTGTCCACAATATTCAAATAGGGCTTTGAAATGCAAGATCATAACGTGAAGCAACTTGGAAGAATGAGTATGTATCCGAAGTGTATCGGAAAATGCATGCAGGGCGATAGTGCGGGTTCGAATCCTAGGTTATGTCTATAAAAAATAGAAGAAATGAAAATTTCCCTATGCTTTTTTTGCGTAGGTCATCAAGGTGGTAGATGGTGTCGTATTACCCTCGAATGCAAAGAGAAAGTTTATAATAACATGCATGATGAGCTAGGCAAAAAAGCATAGCGTAGGGCCCTGAGCTTCCAAGCTCTCTCGTTAGTGATGTCGAAAAAATATTGACTTTTCGGGCCAGTCACCCATCGTCAGAACACACACACAACACCACACATACAAGGGGCGAACCTGGCCTTTTATAACGAAAGCAAGCAAGAGTGAATGTATGTCCATGTACAAAACAAACGAAACACACAATAGCCATATGCAATTGAGTGTATGAATTTGCATGTACAACAGACAAGGAGAAGTGCGCTGAAAGAGTGGGTATGCAGCAGCTCAGCAGATAAAGTGCAGGAAATGTGTGTACGAAGGTGTATACCACAATTTGTGCGTGTACAACCCTATACAGACACAGCACGATTTAGCAGTTTCACTGTGAGGGTGCTAGCGCCTTCAATGGCCATCCGAAGGAGATATTGATCTCCGGACGACGCTCTCGAATCTCGATGGACTCCCTGATTTTTCTTCTTGCCATCTGTGTTTCCACAGCCAGTACTTGTGCCTCAATGAAAATCACATCTGTGCTCTTGATGGTTCCGTGCTGCTGGTGATCAGTAGCCATGTGGCAGTTGCGGGCCGCGGTGGCCATTTGTGCGCCCTTGGAGGGCAGATGCTAGTTTCAGGCATGCATCTTTACTCAATCAATTATCAATTAACGCATGCTCCGTATTCGGAAGCATACACGACCCACACACAGACACAGCAGTAGTTGGTACAAGAAAACACGGAGCAAGAGTCATGCAAGCCAATGCAACTAACAAAGAGAGCCAGGCACGAAGGCTGCTGAAAGGTGTACATATGCCAAGCGAGCTGCTGAGAGAGTTTGCGCATGCGCACAACGGCGCATCCGTGGGCTGGCGTGAACACGCGCGTGATAGACATCAGCATACAGTGAAAACATTAAGTCACCGCGTTAACATACTTTAGCTACGCAAAACTTGCAAGAGCATATTCTTGAATATTTGAATTGTCCAAAAGAAATCATGGCAACCCCCAACCCAAGGTGTCTATTGTATATTTGTGCACGCCATAGTGAGCGGTACGTTGTGCGGGTGTCTGCGTGTCAGAGCATGGGTACACCAGTGGCGTGTGCGTGCATGTGTGCGCTTGTGTCTGTCTGCGTAGGTGCACGAGTGCCCAAGCTGGGCGTGCGGGTGCACTTGGAGGTGCTTGCATGTTCACGGGTGCAGGGGCTAATTGAATATTGTGGCCAGCTGTCTTTGATGGTACGGTAGGGGCAGGTACGGGATAGCGCCAGGCATGCCGACGGCACCAACACGGAATTAAAGCTGTGTGGACCCTGGCTAGACGTTACTGAAGTAACGTCTTTTGCAGAGCTACGGGAATAAAAGAATTTTTCATTCAGCGTATGTGCCAAGAGTGAATAGCAACTAAATAGAGCGGTTGTCAGTTGACAAACGGTTTGCCAATTGAAACCCCCTTTTTTACAATGCAGTTGCGTGATGTCCACCACTTTCTGAATTAGTGGTATTTTATAAACAGTATTTTATTGGCTTTTGAGCAAATAAATGCTGTTTTTAAAATACCACTATTAAGGCCAATAAAAACTGTTTATAAAATACTCCTTTTTTGGGAAAGTGCAGGTCAACATAATGTATAATAAATGTAGTAGCATGTAGATGATTAATTGCAGATGCAGACTGATCCAGAGTTACTCATTACTGTTTTCCGACTGATGATCGCTTAGTGCGTGAAACTCGGAGTAAAAACACATTTTTCCTCCTCTTTTTATTGTTTGAACTAGCTCTGCCTCTCGGTATTGAGCACTCTCTTGGACAGCCAGGAATCTCTCTGTTTTACAGTCAGATAGACAGTCATAACTAAGTCTTGTAACGTATTGATCCTTTCTTCTTTCTTAATAGATTTGATACTCTTTGCTCAACATCCGAGGTTTAAAAAGAATGGAGTGGCCACATTTCTAGGTTGAAAACAAAGTAACTATTTCGTCTATGTACAATTCATAAAACTGTGAACGGTACAATTCGGCGTTTCCCTTTTAAAATACATGAAACTCTCCTCCTCCAATATGCTCCATGCGCTCTAAAGCTGACCACTGCGACCATTGCTACTATTGTTACCCGTGACCCCTTTGTTGTTTGAGATTATTGATGTGAGTAATGGCTACCGAGGGTAGCAATGGCCGGCTTTAGAGCGCATGCAGGAGGAGAGTTTTATGTATTGTAACAATTCATCAAAGAAGAACAATTCATGGACCTTGCAAACCATCTGAAGAGCAGTACTGAGGAAGAGGACGGATGGGCATGGACGAATGTGTTAGTTTGCTGTGCAGGGGCGTCACCGGACCCCTTCACAGGGGGTGCACAGAAATTTTGCACAGGAAAACACGGAAAAGTTCACTGACAGCAGGCCCGTTGCACCGACTTTGGAGGTGGGGCGGCCATGGCCCTCACCCGGGAAAAGTTTCAAAAATTGAAGCCAATTGCAAGCATTTCCGGGCATTTGGTGCCATTTCAGTGTAACTACGATAAAGACTTTTTGATTCTGCAACAAGCCAAGAAGACGCTACGATCGGGGACAAGAATTCTTCATTATCCTCCCCCCGGGAAACATTTTCAAAAATTAAAGGCAATTGCAAGCATTTTCAGGCATTTGGTGCCATTTCAGGCATTTGGTGCCATTTCAGTGTAACTACTGAGTGTACGAGTCGTACTGCCTACTGGTCATGTACTTGCACTCACGCCGCGTCACGCGATCGCGGCAGCGCAGTACAACTAGTTTTAGTGCATGCAGTTTATTAGTAGATTCTACCAGCACTACACTTTTCATAACCAAGAGTTCGCAAAAAACCAAGGTCGATCTTTTTAGGGGGGTGCACGTGCCCCCATGCCCATCACGGGTGACGCCCCTGCTGTGGTGAACTGCGCTTTATGTCTTCCATTTTAGCATCGAACTTCTACTTTGCAGGTTGTTGGTGAGTGTTGGGACATGATGCTCAGTTTTGTCTCATTATATTTCCATAGAGATCACTACATATTGCCCAGAGCCTGAAAGTGTGCTGAATGGAATGCTGGTTGACACTGACAACACTGGCCGTACACTAGGTTCAACACGTACTTTCCGGTGTCAAGATGGATACATGCTGGGAGCTGAAAGTAATGCTGTCATAACATGTATTGAAGATATGGGCAGAACGGGGCTCTGGACACAGCTTCCTGTGTGCGAAGGTGAATAAACTATTACAAGTGATTCTATTTTGGAAATACATACATTTTTTGTTTTATTTCCAGTTATCTTCTCAAAATCAATACCACTCCCACGGTCTTACGTTGCAATTTTACAAGTTACTATCTCCTAATGTTCACCCTTGGGGCTTCATCAGGGAGTATACCAGTGTCATAACAAATGTAAACTGGGTCTTTACATGACTAGCATGACATGCAAATGCACGCTCACGGACTCAGAAGATATTGCAGGGGGAGAATTGAATGTTTTACATTTTCACAGCTTAGCATAGCGAAATAGTGCACACGATGTATTTGTTTTCCACGTGGTAGTTGAAGTTGCCCACCCACCCAACCAGGCTAGATGTGTTTTCCGATGTTCTTGATATTCTATGCCTATGCGTATGGCTTTGTAGTTTGTTACTTTTTTTAAAATTCTTTATTCCTGGTTTAGGACCGTCACTGGTCTGGTAACTGATCGCCTTGGCTCTTTTCAGCTGTTGATGGCTTGAAGAATCATTCCCGGATGGTGATTTTGCTAGGCCAAAAGTGCGTGGCAGTGGCTATGCTTGCACAGTTAGCATCGACTGAAGGTCTTGCACAGCAAGTGCCGAAAACCTTCTGGGATTGGAAAAGGGTGCAGTTGGTGACAGTGACTTCGTTGTCCTCGCAGTATTTAACCACATCCTGAACTGTTGACTGTAACCTGATGCCCTGCATGCAGAAAACAGCCCGCTTGATCCTGGTAGCCCCCGCAAGCCCAGGTCTCCGAACTCCACCAGCCCGACCCCGCTCAGCATCTCTTGCCTGGCGCATAGTATGTAACATTGAGTAGGAGTCCTTAGACTTAGAGACATGACATTTACCCATTGTGGGTTCCGGTGTGTTGCAGAAATGTGTCTGCTGTGCAACCTCTGAGTACGAGTTGTGCACCGACTGGCCAGGGAGTGCATGCGTGCACGTACTGCTTGCGGTAGTAGCACTGGGACTAATGGTTGCTTTCCCCTGTACCTTACCCATGTGGGAACTGGGCAATGGTGGGGCACATGATTCATAATGGTGTCTTACCAGCTGGAGACTTGCTGTGAGGTCCCTCACGGCGTTCTGGAGGTCGGCAACTGCGATCTTGAGAGCTGCGATGTCGTCTAGTGACGCCTCCGCGAGCAGGCTTGCACAGGGGCTGGTCCTCCACCATAGTTCCTGTCGAACCCGGCTTTACGGAGAGCAGCTACAAGCTCGACTCTTCCTAGTCCCTTGCAATTTTTACAAGCCCGTCCTGGGTTACAATTGCTAAATCAAATATACGGCTGGGTCCTTCTGCCTCATCTGGCATGGTACTGGGAGCCTCTGACATCCTAAGGGACAGTCAGGCGGTGCTCAGGGGCACAAACATGCGCCCACATGACCTACACGGGCTAGAGTACTCGAGGATTGAACACACGCCACCCACAGCCCGTCACCGGCGAAGATACAGATACCAGGTACTACTACTAGGTGTGAGCGCCTGGGCCGCCAGGGCCAGGAAGCAACGACAAGGTTGCGTGCAGAGCGCGGCACGTGAGCCAATCCCAGGCAGTCCGGCAGAACGTAGTTGGTATGGCAACTAGCGTCTCCGAAGTACGAGGCTGGTGAGGAACGATACACACAGACAACCAGCCTCAATAAACGAGAGGGGGCATCCGAAAAACTGGAATGGCGAACCGGCAGGACAATGAATAACCTGGGTCCCAGGAATAGCAGGGCAGGATGGATCACTACCAATAAAACCACTACAGCGGACTCAAAAGGTCAACCTGAAGGTACAGTCGACCTACCCTTATAACGATAACCTCTATAACGATATTACCCTTATAATGATATTTTTCTATCAAACCAAATCACTCCGTTTACTTTTGTATACAATGCCTTACCATCATAACAACATTGTGTACATAATGTGCATAGAACATACTTGTATGCAAGTTTTTATGCTCTGAAGAGTGTAAAACATGACCAAAAATCATGAATTATTACGTACATGTATGAAATGAACCAGTACCGTTTTAACAATATTGCCCTTATAACAATATCACTTGGTCTGACGCAAATATCCTTATTAAGTGTAGGTCGACTGTAATAACGCAAGCTACATGCCAGTAGAATGAATCTACAGGATGGAAAATTTCAAATCTAGGGAGAGGCAAAACTGCATCCGCTCAGTACAGGTACAAGCATGAACATGTACTAGTAGTGTTACTACTTTGCACTTCCCCAGGCTAGCACTAGCCTTTCTAGAAGCAGATGTACTGTGATTTGTGCCTTCAGTTGTGCTCGAAAGTGAAAATACAGGATTTCTACAGAGGAAAGTACTGATCCCTGACAATTTTGGCTGCTTTTCGGACGTATCCTTTTCGGACCGGTTTTCAGAAGAGCCTTCAATAATCGGACACAGCCCGAAAAATCAGAAGGTTTGGCAGCACTGCACTCATTACATTAGGGTTTGCTGGGTTCCTCCTCAGGGACGATCTTTCTCATGTCCGAGTAGATTCCCCTGTCCATTCATCGAGACTCTATGGCAGTTTTCCTGGAATGCAGAAAGAACGACCAGTTTCGGGAAGGTAGCTGGGTGTTCATCAGCCGTTGGGAACAAGACCTCTAACCAGTACAACTAGTTGAACAGTTTCTCGCCAGCGGTGATCACTCACCAAACTCAACATTGTTTGGCAGAGTCCGAACCCACCATGGGCGGAAGGTTGTTCGGTCCCAAATGTCATACTCCAGAGCAAGGGATTTAGTACTGGCGGCAGTTGGAGAGGATCCTGACAAGTATGGTGTACATAGCTTCCGTTCCGGGGTGTCTCCGTGGCGGCTGCTGCAGGTATCCCAGACCGTCTAATTCAACGCCACGGAGGATGGAAGAGTGAGTCCGGTTTGAAGTCATATTTCTCGGAGTCCAAGCCCAACCTCCTAAGAGTCTCAAGTGCCATTGGGCAGGTGGTCGTGTGAACAGCGGACATGTGATCATATTGTATATTCTTGGTCCGCGTCAGCAATATTGTCGCTTATCTTTCGATAATTTAAACTTAGACTTTGGACATCAACGCGAGCACTTGAGACGATAAAACTTGGTATGATGGAAGGTATGGTATAGAATGACAACTGGCCATGAGGAGTTTGTTGTCGAAGGAAGGGTTAATACTTTTTTGGTATTCTTCGTCGCTGCTCTCGGTGCTGGTGACAAGTATTTTTTGCTCAGGATGGACAGTCTCGCTTTCGCAGGCTCATCTCTCTTCCTCTCCGCTGCCTGGCACCAGCCCGTTTTGCTGAAAAGAAAAACAAATCTTGCTTGCCCTGTTGTGCTCTTCCAGACAACGCATCGTGCTTCAGCAGTGTTTCCTTTCCCACCATCCCTCCCTATCCAACTTATTCACACCATCATTATAATTATCGTACCCACTAATCGGGTCCACTCTCACAACTGGTGATATCTAGCTATTTGCTGCGGCTCTGCCTTGCGCGATATTACATCCATTTAGCATTGCAGCTCTACGTTGAGCTAACAGCAGCTCTACTTTGAGCTAACAGCAGCTCTATATTGAGCTAACCGCAGCTCTACTTTGAGCTAACAGCAGCTCTACTTTGAGCTAACAGCAGCTCTACCTTGAGCTGACAGCAGCTCTACTTTGAGCTAACAGCAGCTCTACTTTGAGCTAATCGCAGCTCTACTTTGAGTTACCAGCAGCTCTACTTTTAGCTAACCACAGCTCTACTTTGAGCTAACAGCAGCTCTACTTTGAGCTAACCGCAGCTCTACTTTGAGCTAACACCTGCTCTGCTCTGAGCTAACAGCAGCTCTACTTTGAGCTTCAAACCAGTTGTTTTGAAACCAGCACTCCTCATGATCCAAAAATGCCTCTTTGTTGACTTGTTTGTGTGAGGGATGGGGCTAAAGGGAAGTCGATCGCGACGGTCGCCTTCTCTATAGGAAGTTTGCGTGGGCAGCACGACTGCCTGTGTGGTTCATATCAGTCGCCGCTCGTTGCAAGATTTATTTTGAACGACGATGACGCGTACAGTACTTGCAAATCTCCACGATACGCTGGATACGCATTGAGCTGGAGGTGAGAGAACTGCGATCTCAGCTTTGCGAGCGATCCCGCAGGTGAGCGATCTCGGCCGTTTTGCAAAATGGAACTGATTCCGAGTAGCCGACTACTTTCTTGTGCGTCGCGCTGCTCTTGCCTGCGCAGTGTGACAAGAAAATTTATTTTGATGCGGTGCTGTATCAATCTGAATCACCCACCCGTCGCTTTCGAAATCCACTCGAAATCTAGCTAGACCTTTCAGGTACTAGTTAACTAACTTACGTCACATCATTGTTGAGCGAGCGCTGTGGAACAGTGCTTGCGCAAGAAGATTGTCCTTCTTTTTGTCTTGCTTGTCAAGAGCCCACCCACCCGCCCCATGTATTTACTTTGTTCTGAATGCGGTGGTTTCTTTGCTGTATTTTTCTGCACTGCTGATTTTATAAGTTCTATTTGCTTATTTTTTTTATCTGGGTGGTTATTCTGCAGTTGCTGTATCATTTGCCTCCATTCTGGCAACCCTGATTTTCCCTTGAAACAAGGCAATGTGGCTGTCCGCAGCCGACCCTGCACTGTGGTTTTTGCTGTTTCAAATGTGAGGTGTGCGAGAGAACACAAACTCCAGACAGTAGCGTGAGTCAGTATCACCCATGCGCTGATGACCATGTCTGATAAAGCTTCTCATAAAAACTGTATGGAATTGTGTTGTTGTTCTAACAGGGATAATTTGTGAAGATCCTGGTCAACCTACTAATGGTCAATATGTACAGAGAGGATTTGAGTTTGGAAAGACTGTAAGATACACTTGTAACAGAGGTTATGAGATGCCACAAGGTACACTCACAGTGACATGTTTAGGAACTGGACAATGGTCTCAAGCCAAACCTACATGCCAACGTAAGTGTTATCAGTATGGTATACACACATACATACACTGTGCATGTACAGTTGTGGCAAGTGAAATCCGACAATTGCCATAGGGGACCGCGCCGCAAATCGACACCAATGA